AGTATAGGGCACATAGTCACATAGTGAGCAAAACAAACCGCAAACTCCAACCTCCGCATCCTAAACCCTATTTTAAGTCCCTAAAGGCCTTCAACTTTAAACTCTTATAGCCTAAACCCGAAACCATGAACCCAGAATGCCCAAAGTCCTCGCATAAAACGGGGGATAGGCATCGGTTGGGTTAGCCCAACGTCTCTAAGAAGCACCTAATTGCTACCCCTAAACCCCAAAGCCTTACAGCCTCTAAAACCCTAAACGACCTTATAGAACCCCCGTTGGCCCTTAGAGGTATCCTTGAAGGACCCCTTACTGGCAGGGCCGGGAGACTTAGTAAGTGGTTCTGGTTTTATGGAGCCCCAAACCCCAAAAAACCGTAAAATGAGCCCTAAACCCTAACCCCTAAACACCTACACCCCAAAGCCCTACACTCCTAAACTCCTAAACCCTAAACTCCTGACCCCTAAACCCTGATTCCGCCTGCAGAGCGATTAGGCCGTAGCTGGCTGCCTCAGCTTCGAGGCTGCGGAGGACCTGAGACCAAATGTGAGTTTCCAAAAATAGGGGACCCTAATATAGTACCCTTAATAATACGATCCTTATTATATGGACCCCAAAATAAGGTACCCCTAATCTTCGGAAACTCCCAAATCGGCTTAGGATTCAGTTAGCGTTGAAGGGCTTAGAGTTTGAGGCTTTAGGGGTCGAGGGCTTATGGTTTGGGGCTTAGGGTTTTAAGGACTGGAGCTTTGGGGGTGAGGGTCGTGGGTTGAGGGTTGAGGGTTTGAGTTTGAGGGATTCGGGCTTAGGGTTGGGGCTGTAGGGTTACTAGACCCAAGAGTAACCTAGGAAGAAAAAGGGCTTGTGAGGCTCCTGGGAAAAAGGATTTTTGTGAGGGATCCTTCAGGGGCTTCGAAGTAAGGGTCATGTCAGGGGTGCTAAAAGGGTCAGCCGGGGGGGGGGGGGGGGAGTTCAGGGTTGGGGGTTGTGAGTTTGGGTATAAGGCTTAGGATTGAATACAAGGGACTGTCCCACTTTCAGAGTTCCTAGAAGGTTACTGTTAGCGAATGGCTACTATGAGGGTTCTATGATGTTACTATTCGAGTTCTATAAGCGAAGTAATCGTTATACGATGTTATACTATTGCTAAAGCTCTATAAAGTCCTAGAGTCATACTTTTACGGGTTTTATAGGGGGCACGATGGGGGTTTAGGGGTCTAGGGCTAAGCGATTCCAGGGCTGATAGGGTCTACAGATGTGAATCGAAAGTACAAAAGGAACCCCCAGAACGACTTCTTCTAACCATGGCTATGAACCAATACTTTCGACTTGGGATGTCGAGCTGGCCTTGTAGGCTTCATCGCGGCGAGATGCTCTATGAAAGGACAGAGGACCGCAACCCATTGGAGAGGATCTTCTTGGATTATGGTGATGCGCAAAATTTCCGGATTCAGCTTGGCAATGGCATTTTTGAACAATTTCGCACTGTCCGCAAAGCGACTGAAAGCAGTGGGTGCGCCGCTTGACTTCCGCTGCTTCAGGACTGAGCGGATGCGCTCCACAGCCAACCCGGAACAAGAGCTTGCCGCTTAACACCCCGCGAAGTTCAAGTGGGCGCGACGACCCTCAAGGCCAAGCTGAGGAATCTAAATTTCAGGCTTAGGACTTTAGTGTTCGGCCCGTGAGGGTTCAAAAGCTTAGTGTTCTGGGGGGGGACCGACTGATCTTCTGTCGATGCTTCTCAGTGATTGCTTGGCATGCTTTAGGTTCGGCTTCCGTGGCCTTAAGCAGCTGCCGGCGTTATAGTGTGCATGCTTCTTATCACTCCTTTTCCTCAACCAGCCGGGGTTTCATAAGACGGCGATGCTCATGATGTTGATGGCAATGGATGATGACCGGGACGATGATCAGGATGCTGCGGATGATGAAGGCCATGGCGACGAGGATTCTGAATGAGCTGGCGAGACGGTGGCGATGATGAGGACGATGCACATGACGATGGATAAAATGACGGTTATCATGGCTACGATTGCAGACACCACGATGATGATGATCATGATGATGACGATGCTGTTGACAAATGCTGAAGGGCCTGATGACAGCTGTGCTGGATGTGATAGTTTCACTATCAATTCATGTTGCTTCTCGCAGACTAGTGATTGAATACTTCGTGCTGTCGTGACAATAACTGGCCTTCCAGCAGGTGTGCTTGTCTGTGGCAGTAGCTGCATATGCAAACAGGAATTTGATTATGGCAGTGGCTATCAATAATTTAAACCCTAAACTCAAAGGGGAAAAGGTGGGACCCTTAATGGGGACCCCTACCCTACAATGGGGTATATAATGGGTATATAATAGCTATATTAAGAGTATATACCTAGGGGTCCTTATTAAGGGTCCCTCCTTTTTGCCCTTGGATAAACCACTTTCCATTGCCACGTAGGCTTGTGCCTGCTATGCTAGCCAGACGCAGAGCAAATCTCAGTTGCATCGGCCAAAAGATGTTTGATCTGATATGGTATTATGGTTCTTTAGGGTTTAGGGTATAGGGCTTTAGGGATTTAGGGGTTGCAAGCTTACAGCTTGTGACACATGCACGCAAGAGTCGTGTGCTTGTGCAGCTACGATTGATCAAGAGAAGTCTGCAGGAAAAGGTTCTCACTTCCGGCGTGCCATAGTCCCGCCCCATTAGAGGCCTACGAACTGCGATTACCAGGGCAATCAGAGCTTGTGCGAATCATCTACCACCAGGCGGGCTGATCGCTCGCATGGTAGCGGAGCCGGTGCATTGAGGCGCCGGTTCCAGAAGAACGATCCAGGGCAAGTACGAGACTCCACGCTGCGGGGCCGCATGGAGACGACGAGCAATCAGACCCGCACCAAAGACGGGGTGCCGACATGGTCTGGAGACACAGCCACTTTTGTGGCCTATGAGGAGCAATGTCTTCTATGGGAACAAGGCATTGCACCTCACAAGCGGGGAACATGTGCTCCTCGCCTGATCAGTGAGCTCCAGGGAGCCGCGAGGCGGCTTGTGATGGGTAAGCCCCCGGAATGGGTGAGCTATCCTGGTGGGGTTCGCAAGCTCATGAACCACTTACGGCAAGCTCTAGGCAAGCCACAGCTGGCAGAATTGGGGGAGTTTTTGAGCAAGTACTTCAAAGGGACCCGACGCCGGGCCCAGGAAACCATCAACGAATATGTGACCCGGAAATCAGAAGCATACATGAGGGCATGTCAGGCCTTACAACGGGTCACTCCTACCTCGAAGCCAGCTTCCAGCAATCAACAGCAGAGCTCCTGGCGACAGCCGTACTGGGAAACCAGTCAAAGTCGCCGGAGCAGTGTGGATGCCTCAGACATGGGTTCTCACGCCGACCAAGAAGACGATCAAGTAGAGACTACCGCAGCATCCACGGGGCGCGCCCGTAACTCGAGCTCTGGTTGGGACAACTGGGGTTCGGACTATAGCTATGGCGGATGGTCTTCATGGTGGGGATCTTCTTGGAACTGGGACAACCAGTACTACGGGAACCAGAGTTGGCCGTCACAGTGGAACCAGCAGGACTGGTACGCAAGGACAGAGGCGGTAGACACCGCTCCGGCAATCCTACCCGACTTCGTGCAGGGGTGGCTGTTACTTCAGGATGCGGGCCTAAGTTTGGCAGAGCGCAATTTGGTGCAGACGGCACTGGCAGGGGATTTTGCGTTCGACAAAGTGGCCCAGGAACTCCGTAATCAGCTTCCTGAAACCGAGATCCGCAAGCATGATCAGCACCATAGGGCCAGCAGCTTCATTGGAGAGGACATCTCTGATGGGGATGATGGCGCTCTCTCGGACGGAGATCGGGATAGCTGGACCGAGGAGGGTCTAGCAGCATGGGATGAGGCGGAGAAGGAGGCGCAGACGGCGCTCGTGGCCGCCGCCCATGCCAAGAGAACCTTGCGAGAAGCGAGGATGAAGCAGCTCCAAGTCAAGCAGTCGAGAAAGTATTTCAAGGTACCGTCCTCTGGGGGCAGAGGAAGTACTGGATATGTGCCCGACGACAGTCGAATGACATGCCTCGCCTGCGGGAAAGTGGGCCATAGGGCAGCTCACTGCCCCAACCCGCCCAAGCCAGCAGGCACACAGGCAGCAAACAGTGCAGAAGAGGAAGCTCCTTTTGTCTGTTTCAGCACTGCGCCTGAGGAGGAACATGGATGCAACTACTATTCGGACGAGATCGAACCTCAGGCGGCTTGGTCAGTGGCAACGCCTATGACCACACATGACGCGGTGAAGGCCGGCTATGCAGTGATAGACGGAGGGGCAACGAAAACACTAGGAAGTGTGACTGCTTTGGAAAACATCCTCGCGATCAACCACCGGAAATGGGGCAAGAACCAGCTGAAGGAGGTGGACAGGGGCAATCGGCCCCTGTTTGGATTCGGCAATTCCACGGAGAATCGCTGTCTCTCGACCATCAAGCTGGGAGTTCAGGCTGGGAATCATGAAGGTGAGCTGAGCGTGCACGCTCTAGGGCAAGGCACAGGGCCAGTGCTGTTCTCAATCGACACGTTACGACGGCTCAAAGCCGTCATAGATTTTGACAACGATTTGGCAGTCTTTAGGGCCCTTGATGAGAATCGAATCCTCAAGCTTGCCCGGTCCCAGACCGGACATCAGCTCCTGCCTCTGACAGAGAACTGGTGGAGTAGCAGTTTCACAGCCCGGGAGAAGATTCCAGGCTTAGATGCGTATCTGCCCAAGGAGTAGGGACAGCACCTCCCATCACCGGCCCCTGACGGGAAATGGGAGGACCGCAGTGCAGCAGGGCAGAATGTTAATGTTTCATGTACAGACTTTGAGATGTCAAAAGTAGGAAGTAGGAGTAGTGAGCAGTGTAGAAGGGTTCGTTTTGCATTACACGTGAGTGGAGAATCGCGGGACCCTATCGTGGAAGGTTGTGCAGGTCCAAGCCACACAGAACCATTTCGCGAATTCCCTCCAGCGTGTCAGCTACATGTCGACGGCTCCAGTGACCAAGGGCGCCATCGAGAAGATGAACAAGGGCCAGTTGCAAGAGCACCTGGGCAAGCTCGGGGAGGAGTGTCCCACACAGTGGGGGAAGGCAGAGATCAAGGCTCGCATCTGCGAGCTGGTGGAGGAACTGGGGCAGGAGATTCCCAGTGGTCGAACGCGGCCACCACTGGCCACCATGATGACGGAGATGAACAAGGGCTCTCGGAAGAAGGCCGACCTGGTGACGTGTTCGGGCTGATGATCTCACCCAACATGACCGTGAGGAACATACAGAATAGGCCATCCGCAAGATCTACGACCTGTCCCCGGCAACGGGGATGGACCCAGTGGGATTCGGGCGTCACGCGAGCCTATCCTACGAGGAGATCATGAAGGAGTGGCCGGAGTACTGCCAATGGGTGCTACAGACCGCCCACGAGAACGGCAAGGAATCGGACTACCGTCTGCAGAGGCTGGCAGGATGGCTTCGCAATCAGCCGACGAAGGAGAAGAGCTATCCAACCACAAAGGCCAAGGCGCGCAGTCCAGCTACCAGGAGCCCGTATCCAGCGACGAGCTCGGGGAGTCACGAGGACCAGAGCGAGAAGATCCGCCAACTCACGGAGGCCATGGAGATCATGAAGGCCGAGATGGCTGCCTTGGTGCCGGAGCCCCGCCGCAAAAAGGCGGAAGCGAGCAAATCCGAGGACGAAGGGATCTCCCCGGACAGCTTCAGCATGGTCTCGGAGAGTGGCAAGGGTCGGGGCCACAAGAAGCCGTGAGCGAGGCCCCTGTAGAGCCCGGAGCTCAGAAGATGTTGCCTGAAAGTGCGGCCCGACACTTAGAACAACAAGCCTGGGCCTTAGTGCCTGGACTTATGCAAGAGCTCGTTGGAGCACAACGGCCCGTGCTGATGCAGGTAGCATGTTCTGCAACAACAGACTGGGAAGGAGTGTGCCGCTTTGCAATGTGCAGAGTGGAATCATTGCGACTTAGGAACTCCCCAAGGAATAGCGCTTGTGTTGGAACAAATTCAACAGCTTCGACCCCAACATGTGTGGATTGCGCCCCCTGGAGGTGCCTTTAGTCCGATGCAGAACCTTAACCAAAAGAACCCGAAACAGCAAGCTGAACTCCAGGAGAAACGACGAGTAGCGATGAAGTTGTATAAGGGTTGCGTTAAGGTCATGTTTTTCTGTTCGCAGAGCGGCATACATGCGACGTGGGAGTGGCCTGAACGATGTCAAGCCTGGCGACTCCCAGTGATACAGTCTATGTTGCGGGACCTTAGTTTACATGTTGCTACCACGAAAGGGTGTAGAGTGAATCTTCGAGAGTCGGAACATGGTAGTTTCTTACAAAAGGGATGGAAGATAGCGACCACACAGAGACTCGCGGAGGTCATGCACATGCCTTGCCATTGTCCCTGTAACTACCAGCATGCACGAGGTGAGAGTAGGCTTCTGCAGCAGAGTGGCGACTACACTGCGGAATATGCTAAGCGAGTGGTTTCTGTGTTGTTACAGGAGTTAAATCACCAGGGTGTTGTGCAAGAGTGTCAGGGACAAAGTAGTCTTCTTGAGGGTTTCGGAGAAGGCCCTCGATGCACGTGCGACGGCGGAGTCCAGAGCAGCAGGGAAAGTCAGTGTGCGTGGTGCCTTCTGCAAGAGGGCGATGTTACCTTACAACCCCTTAATCCCACCGACCTTAAACTCCGAGAACCGTGGACAGCAGGTGGTGACGTGGCAAATCAGGGTCTGGGTTTCTTCGGAGATTCGGAAGGGGATAAAGGCGAGGGTGAGGTTCAGGAACTCTGTGAAAGTTGCGAGGGACTTCAGGAGTGTGAAGCTTTAGCGAAGCGACTGTGCGAACAAAACAACTTTACACATGACATGTGCGAACAACTTCTCCAAACTATCCCCCATGAACAACTCAAAACGAAGCGCCATATGGCCAAGCAGTCATGTGCTACGTACATTACCTTCGGTATGTATGCACACGGAGCCATGTATGGAGTGACCCAAAACACAGTGCGTTTTCCTCATGTTGTGAAGTATCTTAACGGCTACTTGAAGGCTCATTGTGGCAACGAGGCGAAGTGGACTTCAGTTGTTATCAACTTTGGCTCCAGGCTCCCCCTTCACCGAGACCTCCACAACAGTGGGGAGTACCCTAACCACCTGATAGGCCTAGGACCCTACAAAGGAGGCGAACTCTGGGTAGGTGACCATAGGCCAGAGAACGGACATCAGAATCACACGACAAAGGTGTTGCCCGACGGCAGCTCTCTCGGCGGCCACAGCCACCCAACGCGGCACCGAGTGGTCCAGTTCTACCCCAAGCAGTGGCACGAGACACAGGCCTGGGTCGGAGAGCGAATAACGGTGACGGGTTTTGTCAGTCGCGGGGTTGCGAGGGTTTCTTCAGGTGTTCGGAGGGCTTTGGGACGTAAGGGCTTTGAAGTTCCCGATGTGCGCAGTAGAGTGTGCGGTACATGTCAGAGTGCGCAAGTGGCGGACATGTCAAGCAGTAGTTCCGAAGTGCATCCGTTGAGCCAGAAAGAAGAGGAGAGAATCAAGCGCAGTTTGTACAAGTTGCATGCGGCTAATTACTGGGCACGGATCCACGAGACACCTTGTGACTGCTTTAAGACGCCGTGGTGCTAGTGAAAGTGTTCTGAAGTTGACACAAGATTTCCCATGTCCCATTTGTGCTGAGAAGCGTCATGTGACGCCACGCCATGTATCATCACTTGAACCCCTGCCCCCTAGATGGAGTACTCTGGCGGGCGATGTGGGAGACTGGCGACATCCCACAACGGGGGAGCATGTGCAATTTCTCCTGTTGATAGATGAGAACTCACGCTATCGGGTGGCACGAATACTGACAAGAGGTGCAAAGCAGACTCCGAGCGCGGCAGCATGTTTGCATTACATGAGAGAAGGGTGGATTCAGTACTTTGGTGAGCCACAAACATTGCGCCTGGATCCAGCTGGAGCCTTTAGGAGCAAGGCCCTAGAGGAGTTTGCAGATCGACATCACATTTACCTGGACATCATTCCGGGAGAGGCGCATTGGCAGGCAGATGAGTGCGTGTGAAGGCGCCATAAAGGGCGTCAAAGAGGTCACGAGCAAATTAGCCGACGAGGATGATCAAATCACTCCTGAGGACGCATTGGCAACGGCCATACTGACATTCAACCAGAGGGATGTGATTCGGGGTTTCTCTCCGATGCAGTTAGCATTTGGGTGTGGCCGGGATGCGACAGGTCGCATGACACAAGAGGTTCAACAGCTGCCAGAAGAATTACACGCCGCGAACGCTTCAGGCGAGTTCCAGAATCTGTTGCAACGACAGGCGATTGCGGAAAAGGCGATGGTGGATTGGCGGACCAAGGAACGACTCGATCGAGCCCAGCATTCTCGACCGCAGCCGACGCGGCACTACACCCCAGGCGACCTGGTGTTCTACTGGCGTACACAAGAATCTGGGCAAAGCAAGAAAAAGCCGGGATCCAAACAGGGCCGTTTTCTCGGCCCAGCAAGGATCCTTGCGACAGAGACCAAGAGGGACTCGCAAGGGGACTTGAGGCCTGGCAGTTCCGTCTGGTGCGTCCGCGGACGCACTTTAATCAAGTGTGCACCGGAGCAATTACGCCCCGCTTCACATCGTGAGGAGCTGGTGGAGTCCATGGTGGAGTCTGATGGTGTTCCTTGGACCTTCACTCGTGTATCGCAGGCCATCGGCGGTAACCAGTTCGAGGATGTGAGTGCGGAGGTGCCAAGCGTCGAGGAGTGGCAGCGTGCCCAGGACATCCAGCGGGAAATTCCGCCCCGGCTGACGAGGCGCATCTCCATGAAGAGGCCAGGGCCCAGCAGCAGAACAGGCGACAATCGAGCCGCCAGTGAGATGGATGTTGACGCGGATCCCGAGGGCAGCGAACCACAGAGACCTAGACTTTCGGCAGCTCCCACGGTAGGAGAAGTGCCCAGCCAACACTGGACGACACATGTGGGGGAGCAAGCGTTCCTTACGCAGGAGTCTTCCTACTGGAGTGACAAGAATGCGGCCGTGGCAGTAGAAGTGGATGTACCCGACAGTCGTCGAGGAATTCATGCCATGACACAGGACTTGACTCACTTCTTTGTTGGCGCCTTCAAACGACGAGCTGTGGAAGTCTGTGAGCGAAAGTTAAATGCGCAAGACTTGGAGAAGTTTCGAGAGGCTAAAGCTATCGAAGTAAAGAATTTCCTTGCAGCTAAAGCGTTTGAGGCAGTGCCAATACACATGAGACCATCCAAAGAACAGGCAGTTGGCATGCGTTGGATCCTGACTTGGAAGTTGCGGGACGACGGATCCTACAAGGCGAAGGCGAGGGCGGTGCTCTTAGGGTATCAAGACCCTGGCTATGAACATCGTGATACCACAGCTCCTGTCATGACGAGACAGACTCGCCAAATGATGTTACAGGTATCGGCGATGAAAGGCTGGCGGCTGCGCAAAGGAGATGTTTCAGGGGCTTTCTTACAGGGCAGGGAGTACCCCGACACCTTACATTGCATACCCTGCGATGAGATTTGCGCTGCCATGGGCAGGGAGAAGGGCTCAGTCACCAGACTTCGGAAAGCCTGTTACGGCTTGGTGGACGCTCCTTTGGAATGGTACCGCACGGTGGCTTCCTTCCTAGAACAGCTGGGATTGCAGAGGCTATGGTCAGACGCATGCGCGTGGGTATGGCGGCCACAAGGACAGCTTCGCGGCATGATCTCAGGTCACGTCGATGACTTCCTCTTCGGAGGACGTGATGACGACAAAGAATGGCAGGCCATCTTGGACCAGATCAAGGCGAAGTTTAAATGGGGAGACTGGGAAGAGGACTCCTTTGTACAATGTGGGGTGCTGATCCGACAGACCGAGGCAGGTTTCGAGCTCTCACAAGAACAATACATCGATTCCATATCCGAGATCCCAGTGGGTGCTGTACGTCGAAAGGAGCGAGAGGCAGAAACTACAGAGCGTGAAAAGGGGCAACTTCGCGCGCTACTGGGTTCCTTGAGTTGGTGTGCCCAACAAACCGCACCTCACCTGTCCGCTGAGGTCAGTCTTCTTCTGTCAGAGGTGGCAACTAGTCGAGTGAGCACCATACTGAGGACAAACACGCTTCTGAGTTACACCAAGGCCAGACGGAAACACAAGATGCTGATTCACAAGTTTCATCCTCAGGAACAGGTGATGTTGTTCGCATGGGTGGACGCAGCGAGTCAGAATCGCTGCAATGGAGGCAGCACTCAGGGCATCTTTGTTGGCCTGGGAACTAAGGCCATACTGGCAGGCGAGCTGGGGAGTATCACTCCCATCAGCTGGCACTCGACTAAGGTGGATCGCGCGTGCCGTTCGCCTGGCGCGGCAGAGACCTTAGCAGCCACCAACGGAGAGGACGCCTTGTACTTTGCAAGGTACCAGCTCTCAGAGATTCTGTTCGGCAACGACAATGTTCGGCAACCAGATCAAACAGTTCGCCGAGTCGAAGGGTGTGTCATCACAGATTCACGCAACGTCTATGACAAGTTTCAGAACGAGGTCATAGTGATCAAAGGGGCGGAGAAACGATCAGATATAGAAATGCTGGGACTCAAAGAATCCCAACAACAGACAGGTCTTCAGCTACGCTGGGTGCACTCCGAAGCTCAATTGGCAAACTCCTTAACGAAAGCTGGAGGAGGACGGGAATTGGAGCTTTACTACCGTATGCAGCACAGCTGGAAGATAGTGGAAGACCCG